AAAAAGAATGAAAATTAAGCAGTAAAAATTTAAGTGAAAAAAGTTCCTGATTTCAGTATTCAAAGTGAACCATTGAGTTTTAAAAAATTTGGATTGCGCCATTAAATTCTGCATGTTTTAAAACCTAGGAAATAATTTCAAAACCTCAAAAAAACTTAAAAATAAAGTACATACATGCATGCAAACAATTAATTGAAAAATGAGTGAAAAAAATAATTAATAATCAAAATTCATTTTTATGGAAAATGGTTTTTACCATTAAATTCTACACCTTTTAAAGTGTAGGAAACATCTTTAAAAAATCAAAAAAACTCATAAATAATGGTAGAAATAAATTAATTAATAAATGCGCGTTTAAACACGGAATGCGCGTGTGCTGCGCGCAGCAAATGCGCGTCAAAACACGGAAAATGCGGGTTTTTTTATTAAAGCCCTTATTTTTTATGTTTTTTTTGAAGTTTTAAACTTATTTCCTAGGTTTCAATGTGGATAGAATTTAATGGTGTAATCCAAATTTTTTAAAACTCAACGGTTCATTTTTAATAGTGAAATTAGACACTTTTTTCACTTAATTTTTTACAGCTTTATTTTCATTATTTTTTGACATTTTAAATTTATTTTCCACACTTTAAAACATGATTAAAATGATGGTAACTGTCAGATACAGAGTACATGTCACAGTACCTTTCATGTACCAAGTAACTGCAACACCTGTACTTACTTACATAAGTACATATCCATAATGTTGTTTACCTTTACGTCTTGTTATATTATCATTATTATTACTTATATTATTTATCTCATATTTATCTTGTCTGTTAATTACTTATCTATTAAATACATATCTGTTTTATACATAAGTAATTATCGCTTACCTTTCACTCCTTTGTCCATGAAATACCTGTACCACAAGTTATCCCAGTTCTACAGTATTTTCACGGTCAGATATTATTACAAATAAATATGTACATGTATTAAATAGTAAGTATTAAGTGTTAATAGAATTAATACATTCAATACATGCACTGATCACAATTATGACTACATTATTAGAGGATCTGTTAAGGACACACATCAAGAGCAACTAGTACACAATTATGATGTCACTTACTGATCATGACAAATAATGATCAGTCACTCAATTAATGTGCTCATTCTCCTGGCCAAACTTGCAACACTGGGTCTATACTTTACAGTTATTGGTATAGTATTGTTATCTACATATAACTAAAAAAATAGCCTCAGAGGGCCAAACAAACCGTCAGGCTTGAATAGTGCTTTCTATTGATTTCTCATGCGGCTTCTAACGCCGGCGTCGATATTTCACTTTTCAATGTTATTTCTGACATTCACCAAGACTTTACTACAATCATAGCGACCTTCAAAATCAAAGGCTAATACACCATAGACCTTAAACAAGTAAAACCCCCAACATCCGGGGCAAAAACAAGCAGCCTCCCCAAATTTGGGGGCATATACTAGTAGTATATATATTTCCAAATTTATTTACTATAAAGGGTGTGGTTATAGTCTGATTTTCAGGGCCCTTTACTATAACTGAGGAGAACAGGAATTTTTTTTAGGTGATTTACTCTACTATAAACTACCCTGGATGCTGATAAAAACATCTACGGCTACTTATGAGAAGCTAAGGCCCTTACAATATATTGCAATTTTGGAGCCACAGAAAGTGGCCTATACTATACCAAGCTTGGTGGGAAACACACTGGTTATTGTATTGGTATAGTAAATAGATATTTGAAGAAACTTTACTATACTGAAAAGGGCCAGTTATAGTAAAGTATAGTATAGACCCATTGCTGGCCAAAGCTCCCTTGATTCTGAGCGCTCATTCTTTCCCTCCTTCAATATTCTGGAACTTATAATCCGTGCCTCTTTCACTGATTAATCCCCAGAATATTTAGACACCAGTTAAACCAGTTAACATTTATATTGATACAGTACACGTAACCAACATAGATCTTGTCTACTTTTATTGTTCTTAAGCTTAAGTACAACTTACTCAACTTATCCACAATATTCATAGCCTTGCTGAATATTCCCATCAACAATACCTGTTAATCTTCAACTAATTTTGTTAAAGCTTAATAAGTATTGTTAGCCCATTCCCTTTTGGGAATAACCAAATCAATCCCAGGTGAGTCTTACACATCATCCCTGACATGATTTCCCAGATGGGAAATCTTGTAAATTTTAGGGAAATCCTGTAAGAAATTAAAGATTTTTCTAGATTTTTCCGGATTTTTTAGATGTTTCCAGATTTTTTAGATTTTTTAGATTTTTCCAGATTTTTCAGATTTTTCTAGATTTTTTAGATTTTTCTAAATGTTTTAGATTTTTCCCAACTTTTGGGATTTTTTCAGATTTTTTAGATTTTCCAATTTTTTAAGATTTTTCTAATTTTTCCAGATTTTTCAGATTTTTTCAGATTGTTTGGACTTTTTAATTTTTTTCAACTTATATTAGATGTCTCTTATAAAAAAAACTGGAAAAATCTAAAAGATCTGGAAAAATCTAAAAAATCTAGAGAAATCTAAAAAAATCTAGAAAAATAAAAAAAATCTAAAAAATCTAAAAAATCTGGAAAAATCTAAAAAATTTAGAAAAATCTAAAAAATCTGGAAAAATCTTTATTTTTTTTACAGGATTTCCCTAAAATATACAAGATTTCCCATCTGGGAAATCATGTCAGGGATGATGTGTTAGTACCCTGGATGCCTATTAATACCTTGTATTGATCCAGATGCGCTGTTGATAGCAAGCCTCTCAGTAAAGACCATACTGATAGAGTGAAACCTCCTCTTTACAGGACTGGTATTAATCACCCACTACCTAACACTCACCACACTCAAACACTTCAGTCAACTCATAGTAACAACCTTTTACTACTAAACACTCAGGTTAGTTACCCAGAGGCTGACAGTGAATCTTAAAGAATTGACTTGTGGCTATTTGTTTTGGGAGTTTGATACGGTCAATTGGACAAACGTGCTCTTCTGGGATTATGAGACATACTGTAGAAGTTGGGGTGCTCAGACAACAATCAAGTTTACATAAGGCCACAATTATTCAAGGCACTCAGACCCAATATTATTACGGATGATCTTTGCAGTTCATGTTACAATAGGGTCAACGTCTGGAATTTCGCTATTGATCAAGTCTCATTTGATTAGTCTCCAAAGAACTTTCACAATCAGGCATGAAAACATTGCAAAGGTTGCTCATCATACAGGGTGAAGTTTTAGTAATCTATTAGCCATTGCTATTCAACCTGTGAAAGTGATACGTGAGCTTTCACTATTTGTTAATCTGAACAATTCTGTTTGAATATGACTCACAAGTATCATCAAAATCCCTGTGTCGATTTCTTCCCCAATAAATATTCCATAAAATTTAACTTTGTCACCAATCAAAATATCATTTTCACCACCAGTGGCCAAGTGATCAAAAACTTTATCTATTTGGATCTTTATACATGATGAAGCACCCTGATAAAGACGGTCAGCCCTATTCATCAAATTTTAATATTGAACTTACTGAAGGTTGGTGATTGACAAGAATCTTGTCTTTGCCAAGTTCCATTGTTCTTCAATTGACCATACAATTCCAACTCCAGAAATGTCCAACTGCTTTGGTATATATAATCCTCCAGTATTGTCGCATGCCTTGACAAGGAGTGGGTTGAACTCCCAAGTTGTACCAACATTGTCATTGTGGCTAATTGACCCTCTAATGGTATAGTTGGAGAATAATGGGATACTGTAGCCTAAGTCTTCTAAACACAGTGCAATTAAGGTTCTGATTATGTTCTTATTTGCTGCCTATAACTCTCCTGGTCAATGATTAACCCCTTGTTGACCTAGAAGTACAATTTTGTATACATTAAAGAGGCCTATATCTAAATCAAAGGCTTTAACCTGCGACATGAAAAAACGGTGTAAGTAATTCATAAGCAAATTATTTTAACGCCTTACCTTTTGTTCTATTCTACATGTCTAAAAACTTAGCTCACCCACCTCTTCACGGGTAGGTGCAGAAATATAGAATTTCTTTGACTTGGATAAGATTAATGTGGTCTCATCTTGAGTCGACATTGTTGGTGATGGGGGGATTGTATTAGATGTAACGCTGAATCCAAGTGTAACTTCTTTGTTGTTGCCGAATTGAGGCTGTCTTGTTGGGTGAGGGGTTGAGGTTAATGATTTATAAGTTTATTTTAAAGTGTGTAAACTTCTGTGGATATGAGTGCTCACCAGGAGTTGATCTCTTTGTCGCTTGACTGGCTTGGTCAAGTTGCCTTCTAACTACTTTTGAAGGACCGGTTCAGGCGAGTTCAATTCTACCTTGTGTTCAAATTGATCTACTTAATCAATCATGCAACACGGTGTTGCCAAATGTTGCTAACCATAGGAAAATTTTACTTAACTTGGCAGTGACTATCTTGTGTCAGGGGGACTAAGCAACATTCATTCAAGGTCTGATTTTTATTGGTCCAAGGATCAAGACAGAGGTTCAAACTTGTCAATTGTTCTGTTACAGCAATCATTTCATACTTAGTCTGATATTGGGACACACTCAGTGACCAAAAATAAATATATCAGAAATTTCATCACTTCCAGTACAGGTTCAACAGATTCCTTGTTGAGTAGTGAAGTTCAAACAAGAGGGAAAAGAAAATTGATGAGCAATAGAGAAGTATAGGCAAACATAAAGGAGCTATCAATTGTCATGAATAAGAAAGATCAATAAACAACTCTATCTAGTCATGAATCCTATTAATGAGTTCCTTCAACGTAGGTTTCAAGATTCCGTATGTAGAGTTGATTTTGTGGAACATGTTTGTATGACGGCCGGTCAAAAATCACGCCAGTTTTGATGTCTTGGGAGGTTGTGGCGGTCTTTTTATTGGTTTGCAGGGACATTCCTAGCCAATCATAAAGCAAGTTGTCCTCCAAGTATAAAGCACAGTGTCAAACCTCTCAAGCTCTCCATACAACTTTGACAAACCCATCATGCTTCAAAAAGTCAATCCCACACCTATAATCTGGGAATACAAAAGCACCACCGGCTAAATTGAAGTGAGGCTTGTTGGTCGCAATTGACCAGTCATGTTTATTGACAGGTACAAATAGCCCAAAAGCAAAATCTGACAAATCTTTAGTGTCGCGGTGCAGTGGATTGAAGAACCCTCCAGAAGTAAATGTCAGGTTTGGCACACAATTGTCTTCTCTAATTGGTATGTCAAAATCAGGATGACCAATAGATGGAATTGAGTATTCAGTCATCAACTCTTGGTTCTCAGAGAAGGCAACATTGGCAATCTTGCAGAACATTTTACCGAGGATACTTGAAACTTTAGGGGATTCTTGCATAAGTTCATTGTAAGCTGTCGAGGAATGGGTAACAGCTGCTTCGTTCTGATAGAGCCCTAGCAGCTGGAAAGTGACCATCGCCCTCACGGCAAAAGAGGTTGTATTGGGAACAACCCCCGGAGGCAACCAATATAACATCAGTCTCCTTGACCAATTTTATATCGGCCGGGCCCACCGATACATTTTTCCTTTGTTCTAATGTATCGGTGGGCCCAACCAATATAAAATCGGTCAATCAGACTGATCTTATATTGGTCGCCTCCGGGCAACCTTATCGCGGGGGGTTGTAACCAATACAAACCCTTTTGAAGTGCTTTCGCCAACCTATCGCAAACATCTTCCCACCCCAGGATCATCCCTCAGACCCGACCGTATTGACAAAACGTTTAATACCGTGTAAAAAGTTTGTGACTTTTGCAAGTTCTTCAAGTTCTGGGTTGGACATGCCTTCAAATGGTATGAGCTCGATAATGGCAATGATGTTTGATTTGTCCTTCTTGTCATGTATAAAAACTTTTCCATGGTCAAAAAATTTGAAGCTCTTTGCAATTGAGTTGCAGGCCCGGATTTCTTCCATTGTTGGAGGTTGGTCTGGCTTGTTTCCAACCATGAGAGGATACAGTTTGAGTGGTTCGAATTGTTTGGAAGACCAAGTAATTTTGTCTTCTCCATTCACTTTGGCTTTGGACAAGACAATCCTTTTTTCAAGATTTCCTTGAGCATTTTCCCAATTGTTAGTTTGAATTGCACTATCCTTGAGCTTCCGTTTGGTATCATCAATTGTCAAGGAGAATTAACTTGTTCTTTGGTTGGCGTGTTTTTTAGCTTGAGATTTTCTTTTCCTCTCTGCCAAGTAAGCTTTCCGTACAACTCCCATAACTTCAAGGTGCGAAGAATATTCTACTATCACACACAATCAGAAACAGGAGTTGTACAACTTGGCTGGAAGGTTAGGATAATGTGCACTCAAAACCAAGTTTGATGAGCCAAGGGAAGAGACCGGAAAATTGGTGTGGTATTTCAACAGATTGAAGTCCTTCAAATAATCTGGGATGGTGGCTGAAGTGATTGGGAAATAATTGCCCAGTCTCAGTCAACGTAGGATGTCAGTCATGATGAAGGAGTTTGAACTCTCAACAATATTTGTGATAAAATGAGAAAGGTAGACAGCTCGAAGCCAAATGACGCTCTTGCCAACTTGAAAGCTTCTGGTTGGGTGTGTTTCTGTTAGATCTGTTAGTTGGACGTTAACAAATCAGTGTACCCTTTGATTATATAAGGTTGTGGAGAGGAGCAAATCAGGGTAAATAGTGGCCTAAAACTACCCACTTCAAAAAAGTGAAGTGTCGTTCTTCCCATCCTAAGTCCAGATGGGAGGTGGTGAGGTGTTGGTTTTTCTAATACAGACTCATTGGATAGGGAGTAAGTGGTGTTTGTTTCTCCGGTCAGTAAGGATTGATTATCAGTCTGCCAAAAAAGGATCAAGATGTACAATGATCAGGGCTCACTGTTTAGTGTTGTTACTGTTGGGGAAT